GGTGATAAGAGTCTCAAGAACTTTGCTGCCTGGGCTGGCTTTGAACTGAAATCCTCAAATCTGTTTCCTGAGTAGCTAGGATTACAGATATGAGCTATCAGCACCTAACCAAAATTTTGAAAAAAAATGTTATGTTTTTATAATTTTTGAGATGGAACCCAGGGCCTGGTGGATTCTGAGCAAGTGAACTACATGCTTCCTCAAGGGTTAGTTTATTTGCCATTGTAACTATTTATTATTAGCTTACATTAATTATAGTGGGAGGGGAATTTTGTTACATTTCCATACATGTTTAAACTATATTCCAATCATCCTCACCTTTTCCTCTGTCAGAACTTTCCTTTCTCCTCTTCCCATCTCTCAAAACAATTTCAGCAGGTTGCATTATTCTCTTGTCATAGTTGCAGACAATCTGCTTTGGCTATAGGTTTTCTTTTAAAAGTATGAAAGTAGCCTGTATTTACAAAATCTTTTGTGTTTGTGTGCTGGTACTGGGACTTGAACTCTGGGCTTTGTATTTTTGCTGGGCCTTTTTGACCAACATTAGCTCTCTACCACCGGAGGCACACCTCCCGTCTGATAGAGTTGCTGCTTAATTGGAGATAGTATATTTAGGCTTTTCTGCCTGGTTTGACTTCAAACTGCATTTCTCAGATCCCAGCCTCTGAGTTTCTAGGATTATAGGCTGAGTACTTTATCAGATCTTTAATTTATGAACGTATCTGCATCATCATGGCATATGGTATTACTTGATGTATATAATAGTTGAGGTGGATGTAGTAGTCACACTTGTGGTCCCAGCTTCTTGGGAGGTTGACATAGGAGGATGAATTGAGCCCAGAGTTTAAGGCCAGCCTGAGATGCAGGCTAAGCACCTGTATCTAAATAACAGGAACATTTAAAAAAAGGTACTGGTACAAAGGGTGAACAAATGTAGCAATGGTACCTACTAGACACTATGTTGAAAATGAACTATACAACTCGTGGGTGGGGGCAGAAGAGAAAAATTGGGAGAGCACAAGGGAAGGGATGACATTGTTCAAAAAGAAATATACTCATTACCTTATATAACTTTAACCCTTCTGTACATCACCTTTGTAACAACAATAAAAAAAATTAAAAAATGTTAAAAGTATACAACAAAAGGTACTTTATTTCTGGGTATTTGCAGAGTGCAGTCGATAATGGAGAAATGAAACCAAAGAAAGTGAAACCATTTATAAGGAGATGTATAATAGGAAATTTTTTTGGGGGGGGGTCCGGTCGTGGGGCCTGAACTCTGGACCTGGGCGCTGTCCCTAAGCTCTTCAGCTCAAGGCTAGCACTCTACCACTTGAACCACAGTGCCACTTCTGGCTTTTTTCTTTTTGCTTATGTGTTGCAGAGGAATGGAACCCAGGGCCTCATGCATGCAAGGCAAGTGCTCTACCACTGAGCCACCTTCCCAGCCACTACAATAGGAAATTTTTTTCCAATATAAATTTAGCATAAGGTCATAGTAGATTTGAGTGGACCCTAAATCCAATAAGTGTGATATCCTTAAAAGAATGTCAGAGGACCCAGACACACAGGGAGAATGCTATGTGATGTTGGAGATAGAGACTAGAATGATCCAGCTATGAGTGTCGATCCCTACCATATCCGCCCTCACTCCTGATTTATCTTGTCCATGTCCTGACCCTTCAGCAGGTCATTCTGCCAGGTAGATGTACCTCAGCTTTGAGCCAGGCCAGCTCTTGTGTGGCTCTCCTCCTCACCTGGCTCTTTGCTGTGCTGACTTTTAGCATTGCATAAGCAGTAATGCTGTATAGTTTCTGCAGCAATCTGCTTTTTCCACTGAACTTGTCAATGCATGGAACTTTATTTAGCTCATGCATATGTGCTGCTATGTGGTATTTCATGATGGGAAACTACCACTGTTGATGGACATTCCATTATTTAAAGCTTTCCTGTGACCCCCTGTACTTGTTTCCTGGCACACATGGGCAAGCTTTTCTAGGGCACATCCCCAGGGATGGCTTCACTGCATCGCAGAATATGGACATCCTTACATTTACTAGGTAATGTACAGCCAAAATCTTTCCCCAAATGATCTACTTATCCTCTCCGGATTCTCTTGCCAGTGACCATAAGTAGAGCTTTTTATTGTTCCATATCCTCAGAAGACAATGAGCTTAGACTTTTAAAATGCTACCAGTCTTCTCTGCCAAATGATAGGTTTTTGTTTGTTTTTTGGTGCAGGTACTAGGGCTTAGACTTGAGGCTTAGGCACTGTCCCTTAGCTATTTCTCTCAAGGCTAGCACTCTCCCACTGGAATTATGGCTCCACTTCCAGCTTTTTGCTGGTTAATTGGAGAGAAGAATGTCACGAACTTTCCTATTGGGCTGGCTTCAAACAGCAATCCTAGGATCTCAGCCTCCTGGGATTGTACTGTCCTCTTCCCTAACAAGGCTGACCCCCTTTCCCAATTTTTACTGGCTCTTTTGAATTTCTTCTCCATGAAGCCCTTGTTGCCTTCCCTCTTTTCTTAAATCTTTTGTTAATCCAACACCTATTTATTGTGATTATGCAAGAACTGATGTGTATTTTTTATGGTACTGGAGTTTGAACTCAAGGCTTGTGCTTGCTAGCTCTCCCATGACCTCTCCCTGTTTTTGCTCTGGTTATTTTTAAGATAGAGGCACACTTTTGGCCTGGACCTTTTATACTTTCTACCATAGCTTGGATGACAAGTATGTAACACCAGCTATTGTATTTGTTAAGATGGGATTCTCAAAAACTGTTTCCGCAGGGACTGGCTTTGAACCATGATTCTCTTGATTTCTGCCTCCTAAATAACTAGAATGACAGGCATGAGCTACCAGTAACTGGCCCCAGACAGACATGTTTTTAACAAAATCTAATAGACCAATTAACCTAACAGATAACATAGCATTATGTAACTTATCACTTACAATATAAACATAAATTTAGTATCACTTAAATATATCACAGATTTTAAATATATCATTTGATGCTCTTTTCAACTGGTATGTGTGTTACAGAAAGATGATTATATAGCTGGTGCCTGTGGCTCACATGTGTAATCCTAGACACTCAAGAGGTGGAGATATGAGGAGACAGAGAGAGAGAGAGAGAGAGAGAAAGAGAGAGAGAGAGAGAGGAGAGAGAAAGAGAGAGAGGAGAGAAAGAGAGAGAATGCAAATTGGTAGAGCACCAGCCTTGAGCAAAAAACTATGGGACAGTGCCCAGGTCTTGAGCACAATGTCTGCAAAAAAAGTGGGAAGTAACTTGTCTGTCAGTTTCCTTTCCCTCCTCAGCCTCTTGAGTGATCTTCAGTGACCCAACAGATTTTAAGTGTGGACTCCATATATACATATTTTAAAAAAACAAAAGTTGTCTTGTAATAATGACTTCATAAAATGGTTAAGTCAGCACTATGCTCTCTTCTGATTTTGTTTGAAAAGTGTTGTTTAAGAAACTATTCTCCAGACTGTGCTTCACATCGAGAGAAATGTAGGGCATGCTGATTGATGGTGGCTAGCTAGAATACAGGCATAAGAAGAATGAAGTGGGTATTAATTTTACCAGTGTTAAAAATGGTATAAAATCATTTCTTACCAATATTGCTAAGTAACATGCCATAAAACCAGTTTGATCAAGTCAATTTAAGGCATTTTAAATAAAAAGTAGAAATGCAAATATTTTCAGTCATAGGTAATCAGGGCTCAAAAAGCCCCTCCAAGCCAGGTAGTGGTCAATCATGCTTATAATCCTAACTACTCAGGAGATATGAGAATCTCAGTTCTCAAGTAGACAAATCTGTGGACTCTTAACTCCTATTAACCAGCAAAAAGCTAGAACTGAAGGTGTGCTCAAGTGGTAAGTAGGAGTGTGCCACTTCTATACCCATTTGTGTTTTGGTTCTTTGCTTCTACATGTTAGTCAGAGCATTCCTGACCTGTGGGCTGAGGACGGAGTGATCCTGAACACGGATGAGAAGAACCCACACAATTTCTGGTTATCCATCTTCATCTTTTCTTTCTCATTCCCTCTCCAGGAGGCTTAGGTAGAAGAAAATAAAACCTAAATGTTTATTGATATGAAGAATTGTTTGAGGAGTGGGGGAGGGGCAGCGGGGGGCGGAAAAAAAAAGAATTGTTTGAGTCTATAATCATCTAGATGCTCTCTGTTTTGGATTTAATCAAAGGGCATTGCCCATTTCAGACTCTGGCAAACCAACCAGGACCAGGATCTTCAGAACTACACTCTCCATCACCACCATCTGCACCATGATCCAGACCAGAAGAATTGTGCATGGGTACTGGAAGCATGGTCCCACGCACACTCAGTTTAATTGAAAATAGACCATGTGGCTTTTGATGTATGAACCTTGAAGTTGGGGGCATTAGTTTCATGGAGATGTCATTTCCTAACATTGCTTTTCTATGTTCATTTTGGTGAGCATTAGGATGGAAATTGTTTGCCATTATGGCCTTTTTCATTCTAATTGTTCACATTTTAAAGATAATAGGCATAATATGTCTGCTCATAGTAGCAGAATTTACCGTCTGAATCACCAGTGCACTGGAAAGAATGAACTGTTCTTAAAATACAAGACTTTGACTGGGCACACTGGCTTATGCCAATAACCCACCTAGTTAGGAGGTAAAGACAGAAGGAGAACAGACTGAGCCTAGCTCAGGCAAAAGTTGTCAAGACCCTTTCTCAAAAAACAAGCTGGGCAAGATGGGATTTAACTATACTTCTAGCTACATGGGAGGAAGTGGTAGGAATGTCATGATCCAAGACTAGGTCTAGGCAAAAGTATGAAATCCTATCTCAAAAATAAAAGCAAAAAGAGTTTTTGGCATGAATCAAGTAATATACAGCAAGCTCAAGTCTGAGTCCAAACGAACAAACAAAATAAAACAGCAAAACAAAACAAAACAAAACAAAAAGCCCCTTCACAAAAACCACATTTTTGTATAAATTTTTACACAACAGCTTATTCTTTTATTAACAATTTTCCCCTCTGATTGTTAAAATAACATGTGTTTTAGAAAATTTATAAAGTACAAAAAATGTATAAAAAAGAAAGTAAGGGTCATTCATAATTCTAGTACCAATCACTAATCACTCTATAGATTTTACTCTATACCAACACTGAACTTCAGCTCACTCCAACTTCCAGAATTCATAGAATTCTTACATAGTATTGATCTTTTCCCACAGAAAATAGCGTATAAATATGTAACATATACAAAATACTGAAATAGAATAAAGGGTTGTTGTTTTTTTTTACAAAGTAGCCTTCCTGTAGAACCCCATTTCCCAAATTCCTCTGAGTCAGAGACTCTAATACATACTAACCATTTATTGAAATAAAAAGCAGAAGAGGAAGAGGAGAAGAAAGCCCTTAGAAAGGGTAGGAGCTCATCTCCAGACCCCACCCCTACTCCTCACGCTACTGGGGGCAGGGTGCCCAATTTTCTTCCGTGCAGGAGCTTTTTCAGTCTTAGGGGCTGTAGCAATACGACGAGAGACAGCTTGGGAAGGGATCTGAGAGTTGAGAAAAGAGATGAAAAAGTCAGCATCACATACTCTCAATCCCTCAACCCCATGGAGGAAGGGCACACTGTGGAGAGGCCTAGAAAGCAGTGATGACAGGAGAAAGCAAGCCCATGCTCCAGCAAGTAGGAACTAGGATTGGAGAGCTGGGCAACAGGGCAATGGGGCAGTGGGGCAGCCAGGAAGTGGAAAGAGCTGAAGAGCCCAGTTCTCCCCTGGTCCTTGCCTGCATTTCCCTCACCTCTTTCCGGGGGATCTCACCCAAGCGGGAGTCTGTGTTCCTTCTGGGGACAGTCTCCCCTCGGCCATCAGTCCTACCACACAAATCAAGGGTATGAAGATGGGGAAGCGATCCCCCAACCCTACCTAACACTGGACAGACAAAATGCTCCTCAATTCTGTCTCTTAACAAGACCTCTCTGTACATCACCTTTATAATAACAATAAAACAAAATTTTTTAAAAAGAATAAGAATAAGGGCCAAGCACAGTGTTTAGCACCTGCAATCCTAGCTACTGAGAAGGCTGAGATCTGAGGATCACAGTTCAAAGCCAGCCCAAGAAAAAAAAAGTCTGTGAGACTCTTATCTCCAATTAGCCACAAAAAGCCAGAAGTAGAGCTATGGTTCAATAGTAGAGCCTTGAGCAAAAAAGCTCAGGGACAGTGCCCCAGACCCTGAGTTCAAGCCCCAGGACCAGCACCGCCCCCTACCCCCATAAAAAGAACAAGGATAGAACTCAAATAGTGTAAGGGAGAATTCAAAAGATATAATTCCTACCCAACTCTGGTGGCTCACACCTGTGATCTTAGCTACTAAGGAGGCTGAGATCTGAGGATCACGGTTCAAAGCCAGCCTGGGCAAGACAGTCTGTGAAACTCTTATCTCCAATTATCCACCAGAAAACCGGAAGTGGCGCTGTGACTCAAGTGGTAGAGCACTAGCCTTGAGTTGAAGAGCTGAGGGACAGCGCTCAGGCCCAGAGTTTCAGGCCCCACGACCGGACCCCCAAAAAAAAAATTAAATGCATATACTACAAAATTAAGAAAACTGAGCAAAGGGTGGAGTTTGGAAGAATGATGGAAAATAATAAAAGGAGTTACATTGATCAAGATGCACTATATTCATAAGCTGCTTTGTTGCATGGCAAGTCCTTTGTACAATTACTTAAAGATTATAATTTTTTTTTTCTTTACCAGTCCTAGGGTTTGAACCAGAGCCTGGGCACTGTTCCTGAGCTTCTTTTTTTCACTCAAGACTAGCACTCTACCACTTGAGCCACAGCGCCACTTCTGGCTTTTTTTATGTGGTACTGAAGAATCTAACCCAGGGCTTCATGCATGTTAGGCAAGCACTCTACCACTAAGCCACATTCCTAGCCCAAAGATTATAATTTTTAAAAGTATTATATTTTTTTAAAAAAGAACAGAAACAAATGGGATCAATAGGAAGAGATGCCAATAGAGTCCAATGACTCAGAAAAGTCAGTATCTCAGGATTCTGAGTTTTGAGCTTCAGGGTGAAGAGAGGAAAAAAATCTAGCACACAGAGCACAGGAAAGAGGAAATAAAGAAAAAAAAGCAAGCCAGATGCCATTAGTTCACTCCTGGCTACTCAGGAGATTTTTATCTCCAAGTAACCAGCAAAAACAAACAAACAAAAATTGGCTTGGTAGATCATCAAGTGGTAGAACATCTGCTGTAAGCAAAAAAGCCAAGCAAGAACATGAGGGTCTTGAATTCAAGCCCCAATGCTGCCCCCACCCAAAAAAAAACAGTAAAAATGGAGACAAGGAGAGATGGGAACAATGAGGAGAAGCACATTGTTTACTTTCCTTCCAAAAACAACAACAAAAAGGGAGTCTTCTCAACAATTGCCATGCTGCAGTCTTCCCTGTCCTGTACCTCTCCCTAATCCAGATTCCACTTCCATCCTCCTCCCCAGGTGTGTACCTGCTGTGCTCTAGCCTCTTCAGGGAGAGAAGCAGGTCCTCAGAAGGCACAGTGTCCCAACCTCGGGCCTGGTACAGTCGTAATAGCTGAGACAACTCCATCAGCTGCCTTGGGGAGTTAGGCATTTCTGCACCTGAGACACATGTTGCTACAGGTCATTGCTCTAAGACACCCTCCTGCCCTCATTTCTCTCTAGAAATCCAGAAGGCCTAAAGCTCTTCCATTCTTCTTTCCTTGGTGAACTGACGGTCTCCTTACCTCTCTCTGGAGAACCAGTACTGGGACCACTGTCTTGGGAATGGGATGAGGGAAGCTCGTGGACCCGGAAGAGACCAGATGCCATGGCTAAGGGAACTTTAGTTTTATGGACCGGGGGTGGAAGCCGTGGCACTTGAGGGACTTCTTCCCAAGATGGGACACTTCGAGGACCTAACAAAGAGGAAAACAATTCAAGAATGAAGAATAGGACATACAAATGAACAGCAACCCTGCCCACTCCAAGAAAATCTTGCTATATTGTGATTTCTATAAAATAAAAAGAACAATAGGTATAATATTCCCAATGGTTATAATGTACTAGACAGCCAAGTTATCTTGTCATTTTAATATAAATACTTTTTTACTCAGGTAGCAGCAATTAGCTGTTAGCTGTTATCAATCTCATATTGCAGAATACTAGAAGTAATTGTAACAGTGCCAGGTATAGTGACAAATTGATTTAGAAGTGGAATGCAGATTCAGATGAAGGATGTACAATCTCCCTATAGATTATTACTGTGGCTTTGTTTCTAATTCAGATTTGCTTATTTGCTAAGACATAAAGCATTTCAATTAAACAATTAAATTTGAGGGGCCCATCTTGTTCATAGTTGAAACTCACCAGACTTAGGGGGCAACAGGTCAACAGAGCTCTCATTGTTCTGGGGTACAGTCTCCAGCAGCTAAGGAAACAACACAGTAAGGTTTCCTAGTTGATGGTATTGAGGAGAGTAGAGTGCTAAAGAAAGGGCTAGTTCCAAAAGAGAATGATGTACTAGGAATGATGTGGACAGACAGGGCACAGAGCTGAGACAAGAACTGGTCCTAAACGGAAAGGAAGCCAGCTGGGGTTGCTGACGAATGCCTATTATCCCAGCAATTAGGCATCTGAGGCAGAAGAAACATGAGTTTAAGGCCGGCCTGGGCTACATAGTGAAAACCTGTTTTAAAACAAAGCAAATGGCCAGGCACCGGTGGCTCACACCTGTAATCCTAGCTACTCAGGAGGCTGAGATCTGAGGATCACAGTTCACAGCCAGCCCGGGCAAGACAATCTTATCTCCAATTAGCCACCAAAAAAGCCAGAAATGTAGTAAAGCTTTAGTTCAAGTGATAGAGCACCAGCCTTGAGCAAAAAAGCTCAGGGAAAGTATCCAGGCCCTGAGTTCAAGCCCTAGAATCAGTTAAAAAAAAAAAAAGTGGGAAGAGGAAATGAGAAAGAGCACAGAAAAAAAATGGTCTACATGGAATCTTACCTGCTGCAAAAAATTCTTAAGACCCTGGAGCTGAGATGCAGGTGGCAGTGCTGGCTTTAGGAAACCATCCCCATCCAATCCAGGATCTTCTTCAGGAAATGGCCGTTCTGCCCTTTGATCAGCATCAAAGGTCCCCAGTGCCGAGAAGATCCCAGCTATAGTGAAATAGTGCTTTTGTAGGGGTGGCAGTTTCTCAACAAATTAACTTGCCAAATGACCAAGGAAATGGCACTATTACATGTAAAACATATCATAGCTAAAAGAAGAAGCTGTTTGTCAGTACTGGGTTTGGACTCAAGGCCCTGCACTTGCTAGGCCAGTGTCCTACTGCTTGAACCACATATCCAGCCTAAGAGCTGGAGAAAGAACAAACATAGGAAATGGCACAGCTGAATTCTAAGACAAAAGTATATGGAGAAAAAGAAAGCAATGGTGCTCAAGACTCTAAACCAATAATACCATAACTCCTTATAGAATGGAAATAGTTGATAGATATGTTCTGCTGCTTTACCAGAACATATCCCTAATCTTTTTTTTGGTGCCAGTCCTGGGGCTTTAACTCAGGGCCTCAGTTTGAGCCACAGCTCCATTTCCAGCTTTTTGGGTAGGTAATTGGAGATAAAAATCTCATGGACTTTCTTGCCCAGGCTGGCTTCAAACCATAGTCCTCAGATCTCAGCCTCCTGAGTAGCTAGGATTACAGGTGTGAGCCACTGGCACCTAGCACTATTGCATAATTTGCAATGCAATGCAATTTGCCCTTCATCTTTAATTTTCCCCTGGTTGTCATATTTGTGCCATATAGGACATGTGCATCCACCTAAGTCATATATGACAAAGCCAGGGGTGGCCACCCACCAAGGCCAGCCAGTCCAGTAGATGTATGCCAATCTACCACATCACCTCTTAATTTAAGTTGGACTTAAGAAATTCAATAAATGTTTAAAGCCTGAGCTAGAGTTAGTGTCATGGCTGGTCAAATCCATGTGTAAACCATGGAACAAGGACCTTGAGTGACAGAGAACGCTGGTCTAACAAGACAAAGGAGAAAGCATGCTGGATGGGAAGTATGAGCCCAAGCGAGAAGGGATATTTTGCTGCTGTTCCCAGCCACACCCCTGTTCCCTATTCCACAGTCCACCTGCATCCCATTTCCATGAGCTCTCCTACCCTTTGCCTGAAAGGAAAGCTAGAAGACATGCATCTAAGGGGAATCCCACTGACTTCTTCCCTCACTTACCTGAAGATGGAGCAAGATCAGGTTTGGGTTCTAGGGGCTGGAAGGAGTTCTGGCTCTGGAAAGGGTGCCCCAGCAGGAGACTAAGATCAGGAGAGGAACTGCAGTGGGCAGGAGGTATTCCAGGCAGCTCGCTCCTTGCTTCCCGGCTCTGCTGCAGCACAGGTTTCAGGGCCACAGCTGCAGGAGGCACACTCCACATTCTCCTCTCCCCCTTCTCTGGCTCCAAAGACCCAGGGCTAGAGGGCTCAGCAGGAGGAACCTGGCCAATGTATTCAGATAGAAGTCATGGTACAGACACTTAGTGAGATTATAAATTACCTCAACTTTCTTAAAAGAAGGTTGGGTAACCTCTACCAATTATTCAATGGATAAAAACCATTACATTTTAAGCTTTAAAAAAAAATTGTGTTGGGTTGGGAAGGTGGCTCAGTGGTAGAGTGCTTGCCTTGTATGCCTGAGGCCCTGGGTTCGATTCCTCAGCACCACATAAGCAAAAAGAAAAAAAGCCGGAAGTGGCGCTGTGGCTCAAGTGGTAGAGTACTAGCCTTG